CGTTCGGCGCCGCTCTGGCGCATTCGCTCGCTCAGAGTTCGGGATTTTGGCGATATCCCCGCCGCGGCTTTTTACTCCAATTTCTCTATTATCCTCGTTCTACTGGACCCCAATTGATTCTGATACACACGCACGCTCGCTGAGGCCCCTCCTACCGCCACTTCAAAGCCCCGACAGCCACCCCTCCGCGCACTTTTCACCCCGCCTAGGATCCCCATGCCCGCCCTCTCCGCGCCCGCCTGCCCCCTCCCACTTGCCACATCCTCCTAGCCCGCCTACTACCGCGGTGGCCCCGGATTCCACAAACTGGTCACGCGGACATGCCCGCTGGCATACGTGTCCCTACTTCACACCTTACCCTCGCGCCTTCCTCGACCCCGGGCACTGCCTCTCACTGCTTCCGCCGCACTCCCTCCCCAAGGTCACACCCATTCACCCATCCCTGTACCTACATTCGCTCATCAAACACATGCACGACATTTTGCACACAATTTCTCTCCCTCCCCGGTCCTGCTATTCTGGCCCGTGTGTCGCCCGTCATCCGACACTTCCCGAGAGGCCCCAGTCGATTGACACCCAATACCACGCCCGAGCATCGGCCCCCTCCCCCGCCCCCGCCTCCGCCTCGAGCGCCCACACGACGACGGCGCACTCCTGACAGATCCGGCGATGCCTGGGTGACACCTTATCCAGGCACCGGCCGATGTTTGCTGCGATCGCCGATGCCTCCGACCTCATGAGCCATCCGCCGCAGATGCGCCTGGCCAGCCAGCTCCCTCGACGAATCCCCCCACGCGGCACTCAGCCACAGCAGGAGTATGCACGCCTGGTGGTCTTCCTGCTTACCAAAGACGTAGTTCTGCCAACACTTGTGTCGGCTCGGCACATCCCGCATCGCAAGCTTCGGCCACCTCCCAACCGGACCTAGCTCCTGTGGATCCTTGCACCGGCGAGCCTGGCAACAAAACCTGCTCCAGCGACAGCTTCCCGATGCCCTCCGCCCGGGCAGGAGATCGCTCCCCATGGTCTTCATGTTGCCAACTACCCCGACATGCCGCTCCCAGTGTCTCACTGGCATAGCTCTACGCCCTGCCGCGCCCAGCCTCACCCAGACGTGGCTGTGACAACACCTCCCCGCTGGCGATGGTCGACATAAACGAAGAGCCATGCCTCGTGACGCCCTAGCGAAATGTACCCCCCAATGGGACTTGCACATGTGTCCCAGCGTTGAGCACCGCTTCACAGAGCACTGTGGCGTAAACAGCATCCCGGATTACCATGATGTACCTCCACCCGGTTCTCCACGCATGCTACGCCAACAGCATGGAGCCAGCCGCGCGAGATTAGCGCCCAGTCCGCTTAACTTGAGTGGCGGCGAGGCATCTTCCGCTCGAGCGGCCGCGCCCTTGACATTGCTCGTCATCATACACTGACTCCCGCCTCCAGGGACCACCCATGCCTTCGGCGCGTCCCGCCCGCCCCCTCACCCCGAGTCCCACCTCGAGCAGAGACACTCCGGCCATTGCAGGAATGGCTTGCCACATAGCATCCCGATGATCGCCCATCAGAGGGTGACCTCTTTACCAAGACCCTTCGATATTCGGGGGTCGCGGAATGTAGGATCAAACCATGCCCCAGCAGGGCTGAGACATTGACTCATCGGCGCGCCCTGAATAATGCCAAGCGCCCTCTTCATTCCGCCAGTGACAGCATGTCCCGCATTTCAACCCAACCCCTTCGGTCAGCCTACTGCCGGCAATCGCCGATCTTCTACAGCAAACTCATTTTTCTGCTGCCCAAGCGTCGCCCTGTCACAGCACGAGACTTCGGCCCCCTTCCGTGTCCATTGTCATCAATTAATCCCCGAGTAGGCCCTAGTTCATGCTACACACAGGTCAGAAAGCGATACGTCGACCCCAGGCGAAAATCCAGCTTGCATACGCCTTTACAACATAGAGATGCTCGAGCTACGCCTTCTCGATCATGCCTCGACTTCCGCATCTTGGCTGTCTCCCTTACGAAAATGGCTCTCCCATGCCCGGGCAGGGTCGCTCAAATCCGTTCCTTGTGTGTGGAATCTGCCGAAGTGCCCGACTTATAGAGAGAGGGCCAATCTGGACCTATCTGCCAAAATGGGGCGCACTGTGACCACGGCATTGAAAAGTTGCTCGCAGTGACCTCAGCCCCACATTTCGCGGCGGATTGTCCTCGAAAGGGGAGCTCCTGCTGTACGACCCCGACATGCGGTGCCCTCACTTACTGACTGAAAGTGCGCCCGAAGGGCACGCTTCCTGCATCACCCATGCTTTTTTTTAAGCTGCACCCACACTCCCCACCAAACGACACAGCACCTCGGCCACATTCCTTCGGAGCAATGACCTAGACACCTCAGCAAGCCAGGCATAGGAGGCCCCACGCCACAGACGCATCCTAAGCCGGTATTCCTATCCCCATGTACATGCTGTCCTCTTGTCAATCCCCAACCATAACCATAAGCTCAATATCTACCTCTACTTAATAGCAAATCTCGCCATGCAGCAGCCTGTATTTCTTGCACGCTGTAGGGCTGGCCTAGCAGTAGTCACCTCGATCGCAATTCCCCGGGAAGAGAGACAGTGGCGGCCGAGGACGCCCCTCACTGAACTATTTTCCACAGCCGCTTAGCCTACCGATAGAACATGTCCCCCTCCCCGGAGGACTCATGGCGTGAGTTCCCCGAGCAAAGCTGACTGAGCACTCCACGACCCCTACTCGAGCTGAGGCTGACTCGAGAGAGGTCCAGATACAGGATGAGCAACTTGTCCAAATGGCCACCCAGGCAGATGCCAAGACAAAGGCCCTAGATGCTTTCCGATTGGGGCAATGACATGCTCACCAACCGGACATCATGTCGACGACATACCACAGCGAGGCCCCGGTCCGTCCACTGTACACTACGGCCAACGACCTCAAACGACAGCTGGACATCTCAACTTAGTGTGGGGCATTGGCGGCCTCCCATGCAGAGGAAAGGCCTCGCCGGCAGGACAACCAACAACTCTCTTGCCGGGTGGTCGAATGTGCCCCCGCTTCGCCTGGGAACCAGGAGGCCTCACCATCACTCCGGCGCCTTTGTAGACGTGGGAATGTATGTCCGACCCAATCCCATAGGCGAGTGAGGGGCCATAGGGCTTGCATCTGTTTCGCAGCGCCGACCGATCCACGAGCGCCGGGCGGCAGGGGCACCCTTGCAGCCGGTGATGTTGCTTGGCTCGGAGGTCCCGCACGCGCTCGACACGCTCCTCCTTGAGCGGGGCAACTTTGCTCGCCCCGGCGTACGCAGCATCCCTCCACGGCTGTCGCCGAAGCCCCTGGTACCCCACACAAAGTGCCACCCAGATCTTCACGATCAACGCCGCCCTGCCCACACATGGCACACATAGACGCCCTGCTAGGGACCGGCATCTCAAGCAAAAAGGAAAGCCTTGTCACCGGGGACCAGACACTGCCTGTAGTTGCCCCATCCAGTCCGCGTAGTCGAGCCCACCGATCCAAGGCCAGTCAGCATCTTGACTGATACATACGCATGTTAGCATCCATCCCAAGCCCGCTACGCGATATTGGAGGAAGACTGCGTCTCCGGGAGAAAGAGTGCCCCTCTCCCTTCCGGAGAAGGGCGGATGCACCGCACGTCACTGCCCTTCAAGGAATAGACCAATGCAGAGGCAACAAAGGCCGGCCGCGAGCAAATCTACGGCCCCAGTGCGGCCGAGGGCAGGGGGGAGGGCGTGTGCCACGAGCCCCGGCACCGCCGTTGAGGTGCTGCGCTGCCTGCCACCGGGAGTGTGACCTACCTCCCGAAGCCCCGGCAAAGGCACGAGGTACAGTGGCTGAACTCGGGACGCGGCGAGGAGTTCCAGCCCCGAGGGCCTCAGGGATGCAGGCTCCAAGGGAGGAAGAGGCCGGATCCCGGCAAGGCGCCCCCCCCCCCCCCCCCTCACTAGCACCCCCGAGGTATGGTGGGCGACGCCAGGATAATACTCGAAAAGAAGGCGCTCGGCGGGAGCGACGAAAAAAAAAAAAACCCATTCCACGTACCAACCGCGTGGCACACGGGGAGACGGTATCCAAAAACACACCCGACCACAGCGTGGCCGGCCCGAACGCTCATCCATGCCTCGGCTTCTGCTGCTCTCTATATTGTCGACCTTATTTTATTCCGCCCTTTGCCGCCCAGTGCCCCGGGAAGGACACTGTCCTCTGGGTGGGTGCTGGGGTTCTAAAGTGCCAACGGAATCCTACTCGCGTCCGGCCTGCTCAGCGGCCGCGCCTCCCTGCCCGGCCCTCGCATTTCGCGGCCTCTTCCCCAAGCCCCGCATCTGTTGCTCCATCAGAAGGGCCTCTCCCTCTGGAATCCCCAGCCTCAGCACAGAGCCACCTCCTGCCGCCCGCTAGTGATGGATGCTTGGTCATCGCCGCCGCCGCCGCCATCCCGGCCGCATGTCGCGAAGGGGTCAACAACTTGGCTTGTATATCCTGCTAGGAGACGGGCGCCACAGTGCGTTTGCCACTGAGATGCCTACAAAAAGAGCGCATGTCCGACATTGCCTCTTTGTGCACAGCGGCCTTAGGCTGTGGTTCGATGCTGCACCCCTCGGGAAGATTGCCTTTTCCTCCGTGCCTTTCTTTCTCTCTCTCCCTCTCTCGGTGATCTGCATTTCATCTCGATCCACCCCTACGCGGCTTCGATGCGCCCCCCACCCCCCCTGCGCTGGACCTCTTCCATTCGTCCTGGCCCCTCTTTTCGCCATGCATTGACAGTCGTCAAGAGACACCAGCGCACGCAGAGGAGGACCGAAAGTGCCAAACGAACAAAGGCCCCACGCTGCGAAGAAACAAAAGGACTCCCTCTCACCATATCTGCGCCCCGCCCCTCGGACAAACAGCTTGGACCGCCGTTGGTGCCGGCGTTCCTCCACGGTCCCGGGGAAGACGCATGCCCACAGGCAGGGCGCCCGTGTTGTTTGACGATCGGGGTAACTTGTTTAGTTCCAGGGCCTCATTCGGCCGGCTTCCCGCCCGGACACAGGATGATGCCCTTCAGGCGGAAGTGCACTCGCGTATCGCCGGGGCAAAATATCCCACATGGCACCACCTGCCCGTGGATGTCCCAAAGCAGCTCCGGCGTGAAGACAATCACCCCCCGGGGACAGGCAAAGGAGCGCCGCTCCAACACGGCCATGCTGCTGTCCGGGAAGGCCGCCTCCATGGCCCTCCTCAGGTCGCGCAGGGCCAGGCCGACGTCGACCGGCTCATCGTCCGGGTCCGAGCCGCCCGTCGTCCCCCCGGCCCCCAGCAAAGCCACCCTCATATGGACGATGCTGAGATGCGTGGGGAAGAAGAGAAACGGCAGGTGCAGGATGCCCCCCGAGTCCCGGGCGAGGAAGCTCTCGAAGTCCCGGCAAACGCGCACCACCCCCGGGGTGTCATGCGTGTCCGAGGGCCGCGCCACAAACACCCGTCCTCGGCACACGAAGAATAGGACCTCCGGCAGGGGATCCATCATTCCGGCCGAGCCGGCGGCCACCGATTCGCGTGCCAACTGCAGCACCTCCCGAGGCAGGAGAATCCCCGGGTACAGCGGCGTCGGTGTCCGGGTAAATTCCACACGCAGGTGCGGCATGCGACCGATGGCGCACAGCAGCGACATCTCCAGCGGTCGCGGTGTCAGATCCATCCCGGAATTCTCCAGCGACGTGAACGTAATCCGGGTCATCCCCGGGACCATGGTTCCCAGGTTCCACTCTGCCAGGTCGTCGCCCACCAACCGAGACATGGTGAACAGCAGCTCCGATGATGCCGGCGGCCCGGGATACACCTGCAGGGGGAGCCCCCCACCCATCCCCCGGGTCCCCGCCGGAGCAAAGTGAGAGCCGGGGAAAAGGCGTGAAGTCAGGCATTTCCGCGTCGACCGTCCCCGCCACCCACCCTGTCACCAGGAGGACGCCCGGCCAGATCCCCCCCCCTCCCTTTGCACGTCCGAATGCGCACCTGCTGTGCTCGAAGGACATTCGAGCCGGATACCGCCTGAAGGAGCAACTCCTCCAGCATGCTCTGCTCCGGCACCGGCACCCCGAACCAGCCAGTCCAGGTGACCTCGCATGAAAGGGTAAGCAGCTCGGGCGGCTCGATGCAGGTCAGCCGCAGGGTCCCGTTTATCATACGCAGCACATTCACTCCGACGAGGATGTGGTTGGCCCGGAGCCCAAGCCGGGGATTGGACAGGGCCCTGTGTGTCATTGCCACCACCAGGCCAAGTGCCAGTGTGTCCGGTTAATCCTCCAGCCTCCCGATCATCCCCCCAGGCCGAGTCCAGGAACAAAGGAAAAGTGACGGCGTGACCACGATCCGGCCTGCTCCTGAACGCACGTAATCTCGAGCGTTTTGTCGACAAAAAGCGGACTGTCCCGGTCCAGGAAGTGGCCCTGCAGGGCGGCCAAGGTGTCCCCCGTCACCTGGAGCCCATCGGGGCCCGTGTGAATGGGACTGACATTGGTCGCCACCGGCAGCCGAACGGCCTCGGTCAGCATGGGCAGCCGCAGCAGGATCGAGGCTGGCGGGTTTCCCACCCGCACATCGTGCCTCACCGTGCTCACATACACCGAGGCCCAGGTCTCGCCGTGGCTCAAGAGCCCGCAAGGCATCGGCCGCAGCTGGACGTCCACCAGTCGGGCTACCCGCGACGCCAGGCGCCCCTGCGACACCGCCAGCTCCACCTCCTGCGAGCACGTACGCGCGATGCCCCGGCCGGCCGCCCCACCGCCGGGCATGGCAATATACATCAGTATCAGGGTGTCACCCCTGCCGAGAGCCCGTGTGACCGACGCACCTGGCCCACCGTCAGCACGGAGCCATCCAGTTGGTCCAAAAAGGCCCGTGCCAGATTCGAATGGTCGATTTCCTCGCCCTCCCAGCCCGGCACCGGCGACAGCAGATGCAACTCAATCTGGCTCACCTGCCGAGGCCGGGCAGTCGCCTGGGCCAAAAACACCGGCCCCAGCGCAAACATCCGCCCAAAGTCCCACCGACTGATGGTAATCTGCCCCTCGGTCAGCGGCGAGCGGGGATCGGGATCCGGGCTGGGCAGCCCCCGGCGAGGGCCAGTTAGCGCGCCTGCAAGCCACCCGCGGTAACGGGACCAAAAAAAGAGCACCACGTACTAGACCAGCAGGACATGGTCGCCCCACTGGAGAAAGGCATCGGCCCCATCGGCCAGCCACTCCCGCATGCGCAGGTAGAACTCCGGACTGACGGCCGCCCGGCCAGGGGGGAATCTTTCCAACGGACTGGCCCGCACTTCCAAACAGGCTCCCAGTGCATCGGACTCCCGACCGGGACGAGACACAAGTAGCCAGCCGCGGCCGGGCTGGCCCGGTGGCCTGCCTGGACTCTTCCCACGGCCTTCCCCAGACCCAGGGCCATGGTCTGGCGGCGTGCAAAATGCCCCATCCGCCATGTCGCTGGACTGCCTCTCGAGAAGTACCTCGACCTCGGTATCGGTCCGCACCTGGCCCCGAGTGGCACACACTCCCTCCCCCGGAGCCGGCATGCCAGCGCCCCCTGCCGGAGCAGGGTCCCCCGGCACCGCCATGTCGATGTCTGTCTCGAGCCCTGAGGGGGGCCTGGCCCGAACGCCGCGCGGCGGATGCCCCACGCCCAGCAAGCCGACCGGTCGTTCGGTGTCCGGCGTGCCGGGCCACGTCAGCCGATGCACAGTGGCCACCATCCGGCGACCACCCGAGACGAAGGGCAGCGTCTGACACGGCATGCCCCATGGCCAGGGTCAGTGCAAGAGGGAAAAACAAGGCGGACATACGCAGACTACGCGGCTGGCCCCCCCCCCCCCCCCTCGACGCACCCGGCCCAGTTGCATGGTCCCCCCGGCGTGGGTGGCCAGGAAGTCGCCCTTCAAAAGGTCCCCCGAGGGCCGGCCAGCGCCGGCCACCTCGCCTGGCGCCGCGGCAAAGGCCACCACCATGCAGGCCGCCACCGGCACCCACGGCGCAGGACTCAAAGTGAACGGACCCGGCTCATCCATGAGCATGAATTCCCGCGGGTGGGTCTCCACGGCAAAGCGGGCGACCCCTTTGCTCGGTCTGGGCCACGAGTCCATTTGGGTCAGAAAACCCGGCGGCCGTGCCGAAAGCCCCTCGGACCCACTCGTCTGATGCCGAGACATGTTCACGCACCGCACATCGAACACCATGCCTCGGTATTGGAGACGCACGGGCCCCGAGTCCTGGCCCACCAGCCCGGCCATGCGCCGGAAGGCCGGCTCAGACACCAAGAGAGTTCCCGGCGGATGGTCCACCTGGCCGGCCACCGGTTCCAGCAGCATCACAGCCTCCTCCCCCGGGCCCGATGTAATGGACGCCAGCCGGGGCATGGCCTCCGGCCGACCGCGCGGCGTCTGCACATAAACGAGAGTCCGATCATCGGACGGCCCATCGCTGGCCGTCCCGTAAGGCACATCACCAAAGTCCCGGTCCATGAGCCGGGCCACTCGCACACAGTATGCCGGCGATGTAAACCGAATGATCTTCCCGGCCGAGGGGGATGTCTCATGTCAGGAACACATGCGCCGGACAGGCACGATGGCGCCAGGCACGTACTTGGCCCACGCGCAGGGGCGCCCCAGCCAGCTCGGCCAGGAGCCAGCTCCGGTCCACTTGCTCGATGTCCCGAGAGGTCTCCAGCCAGACGACAGCCAGCGGGGCCGGGGGGCGGCACACGGCCAGCGACACCGGCCGACCATGCGCCCGGCGAGCCATGGACGCCAGCAGACGCCGCCCTCCCCGCAGCCCCATTCCTCCGGGTCCAGCACCCGGGCAAAGGCTGCGCCCGCTCCCCCATCGGGGGGCCAGTTGGGCCGCGGCTCAGATCAGTACACACCCGAGCTCGGCGGAGCGACGATGCCTCGACAGGAGGAACCCGTACCGAACCTGGAAGACGCGATCCCCATGCCGCACATAGAGCCCGGAAAGGTCGGAGGCCGCTTGCCAGGCAAGGAGCGCGCGCCCTGCCGGGCCTTCGGCCGATGCCAGCAGCACATCCAGGTTGTGGGCCGGCTGATAGTCCGGGTAGAGGATGTGGAGTTCACTCTCGGGGCGCGCTCCTTCCGGGGCCGATAGTGTCACCATGACCGGCGCATTCAGCAAGTCCACCCGTCCATCGGCCTTGGCGGCCAGCAGAACCCGGGACCCAGGGCCCACCCAGCCGCAGGAGACCCCTGCCCGCGGAGGAGAAATCCTGCGCAACTCCGTCACTGCCACATCCAGCTCGATCAAGTCGATGACCAACCGGAAGGTCTGCCACCGGGGGGCCATGTCAATTTCGGGCGTTGCTCATGGCGACATCCCTCCACAGCTTCTGCCTCCCCCGACCGCCCTCCCTCGAGGGCAACGTACATCCGATGCACGGAGCAGGCTCCCTCGCGCGACCACTGCCTCCATGAGCGCGGCCTCGACCGATGCAAAGGGAACGGTCTGCGAGCCGGCCGACACCGACTGGTCCCCGACCGCCAACCGGACTGCGAAGCAGGCGGCCTCCAATTCCGGTGGCTGGAGGTGCCGCACTTCCAGCATCCCTTCTCGACCGGGGGGGAAAAGGCGCCGCACCCACTCCTCCGACAGCAGACCAAGGGGGCCGGCGCGTGGGTCCGGCCTGGGTCGACCACATCCATGGCCCCCCACAGGATCCACGTAACCGATGGCCAGTGGGGCGGCAGCGAAACACGGCAGTAGCCCGAGGGTCAGGCTCACTCCCCTGCCGACATGGCCCCCCCCCCCCACCCCGGCCATTCGCTCCTTTTCACCTCCTTCACTCGGTCAAGCACGCCCGAACAACGCACCGCACCCGGAGCATCAGCCCCGCGGCCTCCAGGAAGAGAAAAGCGCTCGGCGTCGCGCCCGCGGCCTCGGCCAATCGGGCAAATTGCCGCGCCCCGACGAGCAGCAGTCCCGGCCAGGCACCCTCCTCCTCGGCGAGAGGGGGCGGCCCGGCCGGCCAGGGCTTCGGGCCAATGTGCAACTCCACCTCGCCGAGGCGGAGCACCCGTGAAGGCGGGGAAATCGACACGCTAGTCTCCATCGCGCAATCGAGCCACAGCAGGATGTCCGGTTACGGGACGCAGAGTCGCTAAGGATGCGCCAGTTTCGGGGCAAAAAATACGCACAGGGGAGGAGGCACTCAATGTCCTTGAGTCGTTGGCCACCACTCGCGCTGCTCGAGAGCCTCCCCCGCCGGCCCTCTTTTATAGTGGGAGGCTGCCAGGGTGCCGAGCCAGTGGTAAACACCGAGGAAACAAATGGCGTGGCCCGGCCAAGAGCCCGAGCATGTCGAGGCAAGTAGCAACATCACTTCTCGGGCGCCGCCGGGACACGCCCGAGCGTGTGCGTGTGCGTGTGCGAGGCAGAGGACGGGGAAATACAGTCTACGTCAGGTCGAGAGAATCGGTGAATGGCACCAAGCCGGAAAGGGCGGGGGCCGGCCCAACTGTGCGGAGCCGACACCAGGGGCTGATGCATGAGTGCGTTGGCATGCGTGGCAAAGTCTCCAATCGCCATGCCTCATATTAGACACACGCATGTCATATGATACGCCGTGTGATTAGCATGTAACTCAGATGGCTTAAGGCCTTTACTCGAGCCCGCCTGTGCGGCCTCTTATCGTTTGCGCCCTCTGCATTGTGCGGGCGCGGATTCCGGTGGGCTGCCTTGCGAGCAATCGACTTGGCAATCTATCCCGCCCGCAGCGGTTTCCCCCTGGTGCCTGTTCGAAAGAGGCCGCCCTGGAGCGGCCATCCTCCCTTTGCTGGCCTTCTCGAGGCTCCTTTCTGCCCGGCAAGCAACCCAACTCCCTCTCGGACGTTCGCCATCTAGACCAAGTTCCCTTGGGGCGCTCCCGCCCTCAGCCCGGCCCTTCCTCGATAGAGCCATCGGAAGGGTACGTCCTTTCCGGGGGGGG